TTATCAAGGGTGGAAGTGGTGTAGTGGCACGCTTACCACGCGAGCGGTCCGGGGATCAAATCCTGGGTCGTGAGTCGCCCGGGCCAACCAAGCCTTCCATCCCTCCGGGGTCGGTTAATTGGTACCAGACTTGTCTGGGAGGATAAAAAACACTGACTTGTACATCGGCTGGCCCCGCAAGTCATTGTATAGGCCACATCGCATTCAAACGCCACTACGAATGTACAAATGGAAGTAGAATGCGTGCCGCATCCCAAACGGGGATCAACGGCAAATGCTTTCATCCTTATTCTTTTCTGGAAGGTCGACCGTGATACGTCGGACAGAAGTAGCCTACTGAAAAGGGAGAATACGCGAGAGAGACGCCTGATGAGCGAGCGCAGGCAAATCGCAGCTGCACATGTAGCGGGAGTAGGAGAGCCAGTTAGGGTAAGTACTAGAGACCACATGGCAACACCCTGGCCTTTTTATCGCTCCCTTTCGGGCCATGAGAGCGGCAGATCTGTGACCATGAACAGAACAAAGGTTTAACAAAGGTTCTGTGAACAACTTTGTCCTAACTACCGAAGCGACTGCTCCTTTGACTGTTGTACTTTTGAGGCTTCACGGTTGACCAAAGAATTCTGAGGTAACGATGATGCTTTGAGGAGGCGGTGTAGTGTGTAAATTGCTCACGCGTTCCGGAGATCAGATCGCTCTAGCGCCAGCTCAAGGCTAAGCAAACGTTCTAGCTCCCAGGGAGTTTGGGAGAAGTAGGCAGCCTATTGAGCGGTAGTTTTCGTCGAAATCGGGTTCAATAATGCCACGATTCTGGGTGGAAATGTAGCACCTGGTGCATCTTAGGAGAGAGGCGATTATTACTTGAGCCCTTAACCTTTATGGCGCAGCTTTTGTGCTTCTAAAATGCCTTGTCTCAATGCAGCCAAAATAGCCTTTCCACTTGCATTTTGTTTATTTTAAATCAATAAAACTCCTACGTTAATAGCATCCACGTCGTAAGAGTGGAGCCGTGATAAGTTTAGGTGTTTCTGTGGAAAGCCGGAAGCCGAGGCTGAGCACATGTGTTCGAGTTGACAGATCTCTGCGAGCGTCAAGGAATGTAGAATGCTGAAAAACAGCTATTAGCATATCATTACCCTTGAAACGCTCAAAATATATCACGGCTTATACTGAACAAATAATAGCGTTGACCTCTTTCTCGTCAAAAGGGCTTCAATAGATGAAACATATGCAAATTTATCATTTAAAAATAAGACTTATTAGAACAAAAGACTCACTTTTGCAGCAAATCCGCACCCACAAGACAAATGCTAGATGAGACGATGGATGAGCAGTGAAGAAGGAGGAACTGAATGGAATAAATTGGCCGTTGATTTCAGCTCGCAGAGCGAGTTACATACCCGATATGAGCTGAAGTCCTCTTAAAACTACGCGCATGATTGAACTTTACTGATCTGACTAGAAGGAATGGGGGCTATGCATTTGAATTACCTGATTTGACAAAAGGAGCAGGCCCCTGTTCAGAACATTTTAGCCGGAGAAATTGCACTCTATCATGAGCAAAGAAGGCTCTCGTGGCCAGGTGGCCCACTCAGTATTTCGCGACCGGGAAAAGGCCGTCGTGTTACACAATAAACAGATAAAGCACATAGTCCTGTCAAAACACCTTGTTTCCTATGAGCTCCCTCTATGGACGGGGATCGGAAAGCGAATGGGCGCCCGAACAGCGAAAGAATTCGAAAACGAACTCGAATTTGGCTGTATGACTATGAAACGCTTAACCGAAGGCGAGGGCAGGTAAGGACAGGGGAAGTTCGCGGACAGCTGCACCGACTGGTGACGTGACCTCGGTCACAGTGACCGGTCACAAATATGCATGGAAAGTCGCTAATGTTAAACGCGTCCACTGACTTGTTTGGTTCATCGACTTCTTTGTCAAATAAAAAAACTACTTTTTTCACCATTGAAAAGGCAAGAATGAACCGGTGAGGCCACTTAGCGTAACTGGTTAGCCACTTGCCACGGTATTGCAGCAAAGCGTGCGGTATCGGATCTCGTGCCTGGGCGCGAAGTTTTGTTCACATTCAGCCTTTGTGTGGATCACTGATTTTTTACTTGCTTGCACTTCAACGAATTCGTGCCAAACCATTGTAAAGGTCAGACGCTACTGTGGGGGGAGAGTCAAAAACGTGGCGCATCCGAAAAGTGGAAAGAAAGAGAAGTCAATATTATTATGGGAAGTCAATATGCAGGTAATATTAGAGACGCTTTGTTGTAAAAAAAAAAAACAGCTCACATTATTGATGATGTTGTGCGATAGCCAAATCGTGCACTTCCGTGCACACTTTGCATACTCCACAAAGGCGATGGGCCTCATAAGTGTCGAAACGCTCCAGCAACGAAAGGGTAACGGCTGCCAAGAAAATGCCGTCGAAGTGACGCATAGCAGAGTAATGAGCTGTTTGTTCATTGGAGGTTTGCGACATCCTCTTGTGACACTTGCTTATTTGTTGGTGTTTGTATTTTCACCAGATGCCACACACGTCCACGATTGCTCAAGACAGGGGTTCCGATGGGGTTTTGTTTGCTATGCCCTGGAGATCGCTCATGTTGGTGCTGTGTCCTGACTTCAAAAGAAAACTTATTTGTTTACTTATACGATAAACACAGATGTATTCTCATCAGGCTAGACTAGGAGCTGAACCGCACCCTTCTTTCGTCCAAGAGACCGGATCCATGGCCCAGAAGAGGCGCTGAGGTTTACTGACAAAGTAATCCGATAGTGAAAAAAAATGCTGAAAAAAAAATGATAAATGCTAAAAAAAAAATCATAGTGTGCACCTGGAAGCATTTCCAATTTCCTCACTATTTGTTTCCTTACCTCGCTGGCGCAATAAACCTTGGTGCTCTAGTCAGGCTGTCACGAATACGCATTAGTTCACCAAATGGCACGCTTGGTTGGCGCACATTAGAAATAGAGTTAAAGATTTATGTATTGTAGTCCACTCTTCTTGTGTAATAGAATCCGCGTTTTCACAATCAAAAAAAAAAAAAAAAAAAAAAAAATTGCGGAGTAAAATGAGCTCAGTTAACATTTGTGGAATCATTGCGACCCGGAAATGGCCGCTAACATAAGAGGTGTCAGAAGCACATATGCATTCATCCTCGCTCATCGACGCGGATTTGAACCATTGGCCGACGGCGTGACAGCGCGGAGCACAGCCATTGCGCTATCGCAAACCTCATCGAAACTTTCCACGCGCTCCCGCCAGCAAAAGTTGCGCTCGCTCTTCCATAACAGTGACTTTGCGCTACGAGACGCTTCCTTGCTTCGAGCAAATGGCTTTTTTCAATGGACGATATATGAAAGCACCATGTTACTACCACAATGCGTCCCTGAATTCATTTAAACTTTAGTTTATTTTTCGAACGAGAAATCTTAAAAAAGCGTAGGAACGTTTGGAAACAAAAACGACTCAAACATCCTATAGAACTTATAACACTTTGCGCATATGTTCGTATTGTGCCACATGGAAAAAGCTCTCGAAAAAGAAACCAGTTTTAGCGCGCGGGCTACTATTCTCGTATAACTCTCCGGGAATATTGGACGAAACAGAGTCCTAGGCCGATGTCAGACTTTGCGAATCGCGCGATTCGCTAGCGTCTGCGGTCGCGTCGCGGCCAGTGAATCACTCAATTGGCTGGTACCGCAACGCGACCGCGGACGCTAGCGAATCGCTAGTAGCGAATCGCGCGATTCGCAAAGTCTGACATCGGCCTAAGGTGCGGCAAAAACACGCACTATTTTGTAATGGAATCATCTAAAACTTTATCGACAAGATGGTACACTTCCATAGTGAGTTACTCGAACTTATGGAAGCTCCCCACATAACATCTGTTGCCCTTTCAGAAGCACCTGAAAACAGATATTCTCGTTTATCCCCCTTACAGCACAAAGTATGACAATATTTAAAACCGTAACTGAGGCAGAAAACTCAATCTCATAGTAAAGCACGCATTCGAAACACCAAACAACAACTAAACTGTCTACCTCATGGTTGACTCTAGCCGCCACATAGTTAGAAAGGAATAATAACACATAGAACTTCTAGAAAACATCTAAGAATCTGAAGACAGAGTGACAGAATCTTAAAGACAGCTTGAAAAAAAAACAAAGACGAGTCTCTCAATATGATAGAAACTTCTCTAAAGCTCAAAAATACAACTGTACAACATGGCTAGGTTGATTCTCGGCGTTCAATCATGAAATGAATGATTACTCATACTTTACGTATATATCCTACATATTATATAGCGACCCACTGATATACGTTGCCAAATTTTGAAATTCGGCCTTTCGATTCGCATGATCGATATCATAAAATAGATCAGTCCATCCTCTCAGAGCAAGGTGTCAGCTAGTGAAGACTGCTGGATGTCCTGCCGAGCTTCCCGGAGCTTCATGGACCAACCGAGTCGGCTCCGTTGAAAAATGCATAATTCCTGAGGTTCAGATGAGATTCGGCGTTCTCCTTGTGAACAAGAGCTCGTTCGTCTTCGCTAACGCATGCCTTGTCCCCCTAAAGGAGAAGCTTAAATCAGTGTAAAAACTTCGCATAAATAGCCATGTGAATTCGTACCTGAAAAGCGTTCCTGTGAACATAATCCACATCACAACCGGCATCGACATCGTCGATCGACACTACACTGTCAACCACTTCATCAGCACTGGAAAATAGGATGAGAAATAGGAAAATAGAAAAAAAAAGTAGGAAAATTGGAAACTTGAACAAAAACCGATGGGTAGACATTCAGAACAGCGCATTGAGACCACAGTAGTTACACCTAGAACTTACAAGGGAGGTCTTTCAGGACATGGAGCGCTTTTCGAAATGGTTTCTGCATACTGTAGAGGCTCATGCGAGGAACACAGAACCATGATCCATTTTTCCTGAACGCCCCTAGGAACGTCAAAACAGTGGTGAACAGATGGTCCAGAGTTCGATCCCCGGTGATGACTAATTTTTGCAATTTACGTTGGCGCCTCCAAATTGCCGCCAAAACACGACAGTGACATATAGATCTCTATTCTCGACAATGGCGCCATTTGGCGGCAATTTGGAGGCGCCAACGTAAATTGCAAAAATTAGCATCACCGGGGATCGAACTCTGGACCATCTGTTCACCACTGTTTTGACGTTCCTGAGGGGCGTTCAGGAAAAATGGATCATGGCTCTGTGTTCCTCACATAAGCCTCTGCAACAAACAGAAAACCATTTTGAAAAAAAAAAACGCTCCATGTCCTGAAAGACCTTCCTTGTAAGCTCAAGAGTGGGAGAAAACGCCATGCAGAGCAAAGATTGTTCCGTTCTCCCCCTCCCCCACCTCCCAGGATCCCTCCCCTTATCTAAGGCTTAGTCTCAAGATCTATAAGTGGCTCACACACTCCAAAGTCCCACCCCACTACCCCCCCCCATCCCTCCTCAAAGACCCGAACGCCGGAGATTTGCTTAGGCCTAATCCTATAATAGGGGGTCAATTAAGCGATGCGGTGCTAATTGTGTCAATCAAACATTTCATTAAAATCGGGGGGCTATCTTAGTTGGGGGGGGGGGGCACGCGGCGGCGCGGCGCTCTGTTCGCCTCCTCCTGCAAGGCTTAGTCCTCGATGGCGCCTATTTCGAAACTGTCATGTGATGGCGAAATAGTAACTGCGGCTCTATACAAGTGGGATGGGCACGTCCAGCTTTTCACGCATGTCAAGTGGCTGCCCTCACCCCCACCCCCTAGATTGGCTACACTCCCCCTGGCTCACGAATTCCCCGATTCTGGTGACAGTACAGCAGCGGGCAACAGTCCTACTGACATACTTTTCTGTTCAAAAAATGCGGCGACATTACTTGTATAGCACCGTAACTGCCCCTGGGACTAAGCCTTTTGAGGAGGAGACGAACAGAGCGCCGCGCCGCCGCGTGCCCCCCCCCCCCAACTAATTGTAAGCATAGCACCAGGTTCCGTTTTTGTAATCACGCACAACAAACAACCCCTTCGAGTGAGGTTTTGTAAGAGAAAAAATACCCTGCTCGCTGACACTGCCTTTGTCATACGCGAACTTGTATTGACTGATCGGAGGGGCCATACTTACTACCATTAGCGCTAGTATTCGATACATCTAGCGAACAGGTTACAAACTCGATGAGATTGAATATAAAAAGCCAATTCGCCAGAACTCCGGTAGGGGGGGCGGGCACGCGATTGCGCGGCGGCTGCTTTTCGTCGCTCTAGTGGCGTATCTGAAACTTGCCATACTAAATGGCAAGGACTGTGACTAAGCCGTGCGAGGAGCAGACGAAAAGAGCGCCGGCCCGCCAGCGCGAGCCCCCCCCCAACCGAGTTTTGCCCCATATTTGATATAAGCATCAAAAATATCATAGATTAATACCATAGATTTATATTCACTTTGAATTATAATATGAACGTCGAAACAGAACTTCCCTTGATCTTCACTGCAACCGCGTACATGGTAACCACACTGATCTACGATCGATGCTTGCTGCTGCCCGCGAAAAAAAAAGACGCGCCCTGCCGAAATCGAGGGACCGGCAAAAACTAAGAGACTGTGGACATTGGGAGAGGGCAGATGGCTATACGAGGGATACCCGCATCCATGAGCGTAGAATGGCGATCGCTACAGGCACTATGTGCAGTTATCAAAAGACTAAAGGCAAAACCAAAAAAGCAGGGTCTGAGAAGTAAAAGCGCAAGAAGTTTCTGGAAGCCTCAAGAAGGATTGTGAATCAGATCTACAGCTTCATGAGATATACACCCTCCCCCTCTACCCCTTTACAATGTACCCTATATCAGATTTTCAGCACTAGTGTGGGTGTAATCTTTATCAAACAGGGCACTGAATAACCTCCCAAGAAACACGTTCCATGTTAACGAAGTGTAAAGGTCCAATATTGTTAGTGAGTTTGGCGAAGTACCAGAGCTTCCATGAAAGCACCAATAAAAAAAAGCGGACTTTAATTTCTCAGCTATTCAAAAGATGGATCGTCATATTAAGCAGAATCAGCGTCCAACACTCATATACAGGTGATGATACACTCGATAGTGTAAAAGCTTATTGCTGAATTATCCCTCGATCTTGGCTTTATGTCGCTCACTTTGACCTACGGTCGATGGTTAGCGCCGACCCCTCGTATGGCCGTCTGCTCTCTCCGATTCTCCACACTCTCTCACATTTTGCCAGTCCCTCGATTTCGGCGGGACGCGTCTATTTTTCCCGCTGATACAGATGCAAGCACCCAGTAGAATCCAAGACGCAGTTGCAGTGAAGATCAAGGGGAATTCTGTTTTGACATTTGTAACTCCAAATGTACACGATTCTACGCGGTTCTCGAGGATGATACCAAATATGTGTATTTTGTTTCGAATCAACCATTCCATAAAGAGTTGTACAGCGCAAAT